AATAGTTTAAAAAAACTAAAATAACACCCTTTCATAATATATAACCGAACTAAAAAGTAGACAAAAAGTTTTGGGTATCAAAAGTTTATATGTATAACAGTAGTAGATGGTCGAACAATCAATCATAATTAATGACCTCAAAATAAAATTATAAATAAATTTAAGTTAGACAGTTTTGTTTAGAAGCGTATGTAACAGGGACGGACTCAGGATATTTGAGCCCCAAAATTTTTGTGTGATTCTATTTTTGAAATTCAATTTTAGATTTTGAAAATTTAGGGTTTTCTACAGAAAAAATTATTAGCCATGGCAACGAAAAAACTAATTTAATAGTTGATAAATATTACATAGATACATATTTCTATAGCAACATAGCTAACAGTTAGGCAAAAACAAAAGAAATACATTTTTTCTACGAACGAAATTGAAATTTGTTTAAAAAGACATACAGTTGGATATACTAGCCTTACAATAAGTGTTCAAATAAATTCCCATTTTGTTGGATAGAGAGTCTCGCTCGACGAACTAATGATTGCGTAGCCCGAAAAGTGGAAAACCTTTTCATTTGCAGCCTGATGGATTCTTTGAAGTAAATCTTCTTGAGTAAACTAGGTCTTTTAATGACCCCCAAAAATAGAAATCCAATGGATTTAGGTCAGGTGAACGTGGCGGCCACGCTATAGGACCTCCTCGGCCTAACCACCTGTCTGGAAAATCCAATGGTATTATATCCATGAGCTTATTCTGAAGAAAGTTCAGATACACCTCTGAATTAAGACGGTTGGGAAGTACAATAGGCCCAATTACTTGATCCCCAATTACTCCTGCCCATAAGTTCGATGAAAATCAATGTTGGAAATTTGTACTGCGAACAACTATTGAATTTTCATATGATCAGTGATGCATGTTATGGAAATTAAAAGCACCATTCCTAGTAAATATTGACTCATCCGACAATAATATTGTAGGAATAGTGTTTTCATTTGCTAATATCCACTGGCAAAACTCGATTCGTGGTAAAAAATCTGCCTCCGTTAAATGCTGCACCCGTTTAAAATGATAAGGATGTAATCCTTGCATTCTTGTCATTCTCCCTATCTAAAATTATTATTTTTAGGATAACTATCAAATAGGTATTCATAAATTTTTCTCACTATTGGTCGAGGTATATCGATATTTTCTGAAACATTTCCTATGCTTATTTGCGGATTATTTTCAAACATATTTAAAGCAATATCCATACGATGATTTCCCAGTGGCCTTCCTGAGCCCTGCATGCGCTGAAAACTTCCATGGTTTGACAAATTGCGGTGAATATGAGTAAACATTCGACGTCGAGGTACTATGCGATTGGGAAATCTTCTTTGATATTCTCTTACGGCTGCCAATGAACCGCCATTGCAAATCCCGTACATAAAATGCATGTCAGTTCTCTGTCTCCAAATCTTGGCATTTCAAATCGATTTAATAAAAATTATGATTTCAATCTAGTAATTTTACTCTGCTAAAAATGTCAAAATAAGTCAAACAAAAAATCAAAACAACTTTAGTTTGCAGTCATGGCTAACTATGTATAGTCAACAATTCATTTAAATTGGCAGTACATTTCCTATCATGCGACAAATTCTTTAGTTTGATTTTAATCAGAAATGGCACAATTTATCGATATTCAATAAGAGTACCTTTTTTATGTAGAAAACCCTAGATTTTCACATTCTAAAATTGAATTTCAAAAATAGAATCACACAAAAATGTTGGGGCTAAAATAATCTGAGTCCGTCCCTGTTACATACGCTTCCAAACAAAACTGTCTAAAATTGTTAATATTTTTAAATTCAGTATAAAAAGCTAGGCTAGAATACCAAATTTTATGTCTTTATCTCAACACGTTTCGGAAATGTTAAGGAAAAACCATCATCAGGGGAGCCCCTTTAAAAGACCGTAGCGCCCTTAGGGGACGTTTGTCGACCTATGTTTATATAAACCTTTCTTCCTATTTTAAGCTCTAGAAACCGCTGGTAGATTATTGCACACTTTTTTCGGGACACCCTGTATAAGGTTTCATTTCACGCCTAGAAAGATATGAATGAAAATAACAGCTTCAGATGGTACTTTTACATTACTAGGATATAAATAGACTGAGCTATTATTATATGGCCATCAGCGATGCAAAATATATTTTCGATGTAACCTGCATATGAATTTACGTAATAACAAAAAAAAAATGATCAAATTAAATGTCTTGTTTCCAGAATTACAAAAACAAGCGACGAGCAATAAAAAACGTATATTTTTTCTGAAATGATTTGCAGCCCTCCTCAATTACCGTGCCAGTCAGATACGGTATCAATACCGTTTACTGCCCGTGACAGGGAATAATTGGTCGACTTTGATATTCCGGAACATAATACGCGTGTAGACACGCGTTCTATTGGTGTGCACCGTTGGCGTATTTAGAGGGAGTGGGTTGAGGGTAGTGCCACCCTAGACGCCCATGTCCGCCATTTTTTCAAGAAAATGTGTTTCAGAAAGACCTGCCAATAATCCTAGGGTAGAAAGTAAACCCGAAATAACATAAAAGGTTTCTGTAAATATGGATCCGAAGATCCGTGATACAGGGTGGTGAAGTTTTATTCACGAAATTTAAAAGAACCTAGAAAACGATATTACTGACCACTTTTCCACTATTTTACTGGTATCTTCAAATGAAGAACATTCTAACATCGCTACTCTTGGTAACAACCAGGAAAATTACCAATATTTTGTTGACAATTCAAAACTAATATCAAATGTCAAACAAGAATCTTGGGAAAAATTATACTCTATAATTAACATAGACAAATCAAAGGGACTGTTCATAGAGAAAATAAAAAAACTAATAGATATTAGTACCAATAAAGTAATAATTAGTCACAAAGAGAAAAGCAGAAATGCCTGGATTACCAAAGGATTAATAACATCGGCAATAAAAAAAAAAGACTGCATAATGTGATGAAACTAACGCCACCTACATAAAATATCGACTGCTACAATCAACATAAAAATAAATTTATAGAGCTTGCAAGGCAAACAAAACGAAAACATTACCTAAATAAATTGAATAATATGTGTGTGACCATTATTCTCGTTAATTTCAGTGTTTTCGGTATTTTCTAGTGCTAAAGTGGCCGGCAAATTCTGAATTTCTGCAACAATCTGCGCAATTATGTGGTCGTTCCTATCTTGAAGAAATCACAATGAAAATCCAATAGTACAACTTAATTTGAATGAAGCAATCAAGATCCCGAAATTCACGTAATTTACCACTTATCGGATCAGCAGATCTAAGACAGCAAAACAAATAACACTATAAAGGCAGCCACACACTCAAATATTTTTGAATACATGTCTAACAAAACGATGGAAATTCAATACAAATGGTGTAAAAGGGAATTTTCTTCTCTAATATGCATTGCATGTTTTACAGTTTATCATAGGAGCTGCATGGAGAAGAAGAAAAATTACATTGAAGTTGGAAAAAACCATATTCTGTTCAGAAAAATGTGAAAAAGAAGAAACAGTTAGAAGACGCTAAGATTGAAAAAATCTATAATGAGAACAAACAACACTATGTATTTATGGAAAGCCTGAAATCAGAAACAGAACAAAAACTTGTGGATAGCCCAGATAGAGGTATTAATTAAAAGCAGCGAAGAAAAGGACGATTACATCAAAAGGCTTAAGAGAATAACGTTGGATATGGAGGACGAAGTAACAGATGCTGAAAAATGCTACGAAACTAAAATTCAAGAGCAACGTAGTTTTATTGAGGGACTGAATAAATGATCCTAAGCGGCTTTGGACAGCTATTGATGAGATTACTGGAAAAACTAAATTTAAAGAGCGTGTCACTGAGTTAAATGCAACATCGGGAACAGTATTAAAAAATACTCAACAAATATGCGATGAATTTGTACAATTTTTTACTGACATAGGCGCAAATTTAGCAAGTAATATACAAGCAAATGTGCCCAGTACTCAGCTTCCAAAAAGATCTTTGAACTCGTTTATTTTGGATAAAGGCGAGCAATGTGAAGTTGTTATGGCCGTCAAAAATCGAAAAAGTCGTGGGTTCGCCGGTATTAAAAGCGATCATTTGAAAATTATAGCCGAGGACATAACAGAACCACTCACTTACCTAATCGGCAAATGCTTTGAATCTGGCATATATCTCTCAATTTTAAAGAAAGGTAATATAATACCGATACATAAGTCAGGAAAAAAACAGATGTCAACAATTATAGACATTAGACAATAACATCCAGTATAGCAAAAGTTTTTGTAAAAATTTTATCTACTAGAATGATTCAATAATTCACAAAATTCAAAATTTTAAGTGAAAATCAATATGGATTTACAGAAGGGAAGGCTACATCGGACGCTAAAATTGTAAATCAAATACATGAAAATATTGATAACAAAATCCCTTCAATCTGCATTTTTGTTGATTTAAAGAAAGCTTTCGGCACAGTTAATCTCAAATTATTATTAGAAGCATTGGAGAGAATTGGTTTCAGAGGAAACACTGATCGAAAATTATCTGTCAAATCGCCCACAATCTGTCCAGATATCAGGATAGTTTAGTAAAGAAATGTATATTGAGTGTGGTGTCCCACAAGGAACTGTCTGAGGTCCACTGTTATTCAATACATATTTAAATGATATTTTCCAAATTAATTGTGTTATAATAACCAGTTTTGCAGATAATACTGCAATATTATATGAAGACACTGACTGGTCTGATCTGAAAAATATAATTGAAAATGATTTTATCAAAATTGTTCGGTGATTTAATAGTAGAAAATTAAGCATTAACTATCCTAAAACACATTTTTTACTATTTGGATCTTTTGCTGGACATGTGCCAAATTACACAAATTTCTCCTTCAACATTGATGATCAAAAAATGCAAATTGTTAGAGTGCCAACATAAAATACCTTGGAGTGGTCTTGGATCCTCACTTACGTTGGGACATCTATGTCAATTATATTTTAAATAAAGTTAGATTTGTATCATACAAAATTAAATACCTTGGGAATATATTGACTGAAGAATATCTTCGAACATTATACCACGCACTGATTAAGCCTCATCTCACATATGGCATGCTAGCATGGGGAGCTGCATGTTCCTCACATATCTATAATTTAGATATTTTTCAAAAAAGTATTCTAAAAACGATGTATAAAAAGCGAAACTTTATCCCACTGACAAATTATACGCCGATGTTCGAATGTATGATATAAGACAGCTTGATTCCCTACACAGTATCACTCACTACCATAAATTTGTAAACACCGACAAAAAATTGAACATAAGAATTACACAAGGTACAAAATTCGAGGCACAGTAGTTCCTCGGCCGCATAAATCTATAATGCAGCGGTCATATCTCTATTTAGTGCCAAAATTTTATGAAATTGTACCTAAAGGCTTAATAGATTTACGTTTCGGAAATTGTTCCAAAAGAAATTTAAAAAAGTGGCTACATTCTATATCGAGGACTAACATTCATAAACTCATAAATACGAACATCAAGTAAATACATAATATATATTGTGGCTAATTTTTGTCCTCTTATGTCATTTGCATTCTACAGTTGCAACTTAAAATTATTGGACCATGTACAGCCAATGCCTTCTATTGGGCCTGTTATGATTTTATATTTATTTACTCATGTTGTTTGCTCTCTTTGTAGATTGAATAAATAAATATTATTATTATTATTATAATTATATTCTTCGGAGCGAGTAAAGATACTGAGTTAGGATTTTAGACGATCGGTGAGCCCATAACCAGCAATATACACACAGAGTCTCCCAGCCTAAACTAAACAAGGGACGTAGAAACTGGGGTACCTGGAGTCCTAATAGAAAATATTTTTTACGCCACTGGCCTTTTCGGAGATATACAAGATGTGCATTTTATAAAATAACATCCAATTTTTCATGCATTTTTTTTATTAAGGATTTTTTATCAGATCACTCGTTTTGGAAACATTTAGCTTTGTACACACAATATTTTTGTGATATCGTCTTTTTGACACTGGTACAGTCATGAATCTGGATTTCAAATATGATGGATTAGCAAAATTCGCCTCAAAAAACATCAGCAAGGCAGCGAAACATGTGAACACAATTTGCCTCCTTTATTTTGCATCCAGACAAGCAGCACCAACTTGTCATAGTGAATCGCTCTGTATACATCCAACAGCCGCGCCACTCATTTCCGAAGGCCATGGACTACCTGGTTGCTATAGTACATTAAGTATCTTCGCATATGCTTAGAAAAATATTTTCCGCATAATCTCATTCAAAAGACATTTCTAAAGTAATATGAGGAAAGAAATTTCACAAATCGAGATTCTAATCAAAAAATAGCAAAAAGAATCATCTTGTGGTATGAGAGGAATAGCACGCTTATGCTGGAAATGTACTCATACCTTGCAACACAACAAACTTGGAACAAAAACATAAGATAAGCACTGAGGCACTTAGTACAAACTCAATTCACTGATCACACTGTATTCATTCTGTCCATAGCTCGGAATCTATTGATCCTTATCTACATATGTCTATATCATACTTCTTACTGTATGTTGACAAAAGGCTTCAAAGGGTAGAAAAAAAGCTTTTATATCTAAATATCTTGATTGCGTTTGACTTCTGCTAAACCTATGCTTATAGGCTAGTCCTTGACCTGCACCTGTGTCCGTATGTCAGTTCAGCATGGTGCATGTTATAAAGTCAGCTTTGTTTGGTGTTCAAGATCAACAAGACCGGAGAAAGTTTCTTCTAATATAAATCGCTCCATATTATTGATACGCATGGAGCAATGTAGTGGCATTACTGTCTAGTTATTAACGTATAATGTTTGTTTCAGAAGCCTAAAAGGTAACTTTAGACTGAGATATATTCACAGAAGAGCCTTCCATGGACTTCAAAGCCTGCGTTTCATGTAAGTACCTTAATTGCTACATTCTAAGTCCTTTTCATCTGAATGGTGCGTATAGATGTGACTAAAAGACAATGTTATCATTTTTTTGTCAAAAATTGCATTTTATTGTGCATGTTTTCTTAAATCGTAACTTGCTAACAAATATTAGTACAGCTACGAAATTTTATGTCAGAATTTTACTTTTTTTTCCGATAAATATTTGATTCTCTTGAAACCTTTTGCAGCAAATTGAGTTTTCGAGAAATGCAAAGTTTTTTCAAGAAAGTGATGAGGAAGAGTAATCACCCTCCAAAGGTCCTGAAGGATCAATTTTCTCAGTCCAAATGAAAACAAAGTGGCATTTTTTTTACCTCAACGTACCAATAAATATAAAGCTGAAACTCCAACGATCCCATTATTTATACCTCGCTGCGTAAAAGCTTCTTAATATTTTCTTCCAGAGATCTGTCGAGCACGGCAATCACGTTTCTTCCAACTGAGGGTCTGCGAGAGATCGACACCCTGAAATTACAGAACACAAAGTCCTTGAAAGTTTTTCCTTCGGTGTTCAATTACCAGGTGAGCAACGGAACCAGGTGTTTGTGAATGTGTATGCAAAGTTTACGTCTGCATCGTTATCATTTATCCAAACAGAACTCGGTTTGGGGTTTTCATATGTCCGGACATAAAATAATATATGGAGTGATAAAGTGGCGACAGTCCAGTGTTGCGTGCAAAAAGGTCGCAGTGGAATGGCCCTTGAGACGGGCTTAAGTTGCCAGTTTTTCTTTACAACAAGCAGCCGCGCAGGCAGAAACCTAAATGCCGAGGCACCAAGGCTACTATGATTATCTTGAAAAAACTACGTTAAGCCTCAGGTTAGTAGAACTGGAAACGCCTCCTCAGGTAGATTGTTCTTCAATCTCAATACCCCAGGAATAAAGGAGCGGTCGTATCGTCCAGCTTTGGATTACAAAGTTCGACACGATGAGGATGGGAGACTGATGTCAAGTAGTTTCTCTGCCAGGCACATCGCGCCGCGGCATGATGGAAGAAAGCTCTGAGGAGCAAAGCCCGTTAGCATATCGGTAGGTAGGAGCTAGATCGCCTCAGGCCTGGCGGTGTGAAAGGGTCCGGAGGATATTTATTAGAAAAGAGTGATGAGTCGGACAGCCCTCCTCTAAACATCATCGAGCATGGATGAGGTTTTCTCATCGCTGATATAGTTGGTGGTGCTCTTTGTCTTTTATCATTACATACCGTTATCATCTCCGAAGATAATACCTTTTTCACGATTTCGCTATTAAAGGGGTTTCCATTAAGGACTTGACAGCTTTCTTTTTAAATAAAACGCAAACCATTTTAGATATCTCGAAAATGTTATTATTGGGTTGAAGCACAGCCGACGTCAACTACGAGCTGTGATGAAAGAAAGGCAACACCGCGCTCGGACGGCATGGTAGTGCTACCTGTGAACGTCGGCCGCCAGCGGCTGTGTGCTCCGTCTCCGTGTAACGTTCAAGAACTAAATTTAATTTTCGAAAAGAGGACAGTTCGATTCGATACAAATCGTCTGAATATGAAATAGCTCTAAAAAATTTAAAAATACGAAATAATCGTGATATATATGAGTCGCTAATGCAGTTAACCTAATTAAAAGTATTTAGTTTACGTTTTTTGGTGTCAGCACACTGTGTTCCAACAGGCCCAGCTTGGAAATGTGGAGTTACCTGTTTGTTTTTAATACATTTACTTTCAGTTTTGCTGTTATTTTTCAATTTTACATAATCATTCAAAATTATGTTTGAAAAAATAGACAAAAGCTTAGATAAAATATCTGCATAACTGCGGCCACAGATGCAAGTTAAAGAAAATTCACTGTATATAAAGTCAGACTGAATGCTGAGCAAGGTTAACTGACACAAAATAAATTTTTGATTATTGCTTTTCAAGAAGAAAATTTCCAATCTATCTACATTAATAATAGATTCAAAAATGTCATACATATGGTAGAATATAATTGGTACATAACTGGTTGGAATTGACAGTCATTCGCTTTGCAAATGATCAAAATAAACATTTGTTGTTAATGAACCTTTTTCTTTAACTATTAGCGATTTGCATATCTCGCAGTTTAGGTTTTTAGAGATAGCGTGTGAAGCATATCCAGATATATAAGTCTTAGTACTATCCTCTATGTCACAATTGGCTAAGTAATTTGTCTCAAATACTTCATTGAATATATCCAAAACTTCAGGATTTTGTTTGGTATCCAAGAAATCTAAATTTTCTTGAGTTTCTAAGCAGTTTTGGAACCTTGTTTTAATTTCTGCTAAAGAAAATGACGATTTCTTTTCATTGAAAATATGCTTCAGCCGTATTTTCTTTTCAGCATTTAAAATTTCATCATATGACACATTGTAATTGCAGAAACATAAAAGTCTATAATCAAATTCAAGCGGATAACCAAATGGAAATGGTATTTACCATTTTGGGTTGGTATTTACCAATCCGTTCAAGCGAGTGTAGTTATCAGTTTGGTTTAAGATCCGTGACGTCACGAATCAGCTGTTATATGTCATAGTTATCACCGCAAAATTGTGGTATTTACCCAACTCAAGAGTAGTTTTATATTTACCTGGTTATTATTTGAAATGTGACAAGTTAGAATTTTGCCGGGTATTGGATATTGTTATTGTACTTCAGCTTCATTTTTGAGAAAAATGATACAGGCTGACTTCACTTTTACCATAAAGTGGAGCACCTTATTAGTTATACTCATTACGGTTGTTGGGGACACTTTAAATATAGTTCCTATGCTTAACAAAGTATCCTGTGTAGCCATATACCACAAGAATATTAAAATATGGCCATATAAACTCACTAGATGATATCCATCTGTATACGGTTTTGCTAATTTCTTTTTTCATCATTTCTGCTGAATCAATAAATGTTTTCTTTGACATGTGGAAAAATTTAGAGAATTGAAAGTTATCATAGCTACAAAGCGATGGTTTCATCATTAAAAAAAAATCTGAAAAATACATTTCTCCCATGAATATTATGAAAGGTTTCTTATTTAAACTTTCCATATA